TAATAATAGAAATAATAATATTCTTGACACTTTCGTTAGCTGACTTGGCTTACAACTAACTGATATGGCTTTTAAGTGTTTTTTTTTTTTTTTTTTTTTTGTGTTATTAATTTTTGTGAAATTAAATTTTTAAATTTATTTTTCAATTTCAAAAGGCACTTTTTAAACTTCTTTTCATTTTGCTTGACTAAACCATTAAAAAAAATTATAATAAAAAATGAAAACCCTAAATCAATTTTGAGCATAGTTTTTAAAGCCTTTAGACTAATATATTTTTGTTTTCTCTGAGGTATCTCTTGTTGTTGTTTATGTTTTATGAATTGTAATGGTAACTGTAACTGCTGTTTTATTATTATACTTTGAACCCATTGCAAATGGGAAGTCCTGGTATAACGGTTTAGGTATCTTCTTTATAGTTTGTTTTGGCACTGAAATCTTTTTCTTTACTTAGTTTTGTGAACATCTACTGCTCTATAGCTCTACAAAGTATTTGTATTTATTTTTGTATTTATTTTTTTATTTTAATGTTTATCGTTTCGTTTAACTAATAACTTAATATGCTCTGAGTTCGAAAAGCTTTATTCAGTATAAAAAGACTATCCACTGAGTTGACTGCTCGCACCGCGTTTGCCTTAAACCCTATATATATATATTTATATATATAATGTCTCAATTATACCTAAATCTAAACTAACTAATTTTATGTTTCATTGTACAATTTGTGTCTTTTTTTGTTGTGTGTGTGTGCTTTTTTAAACTTGTGGAATGCTGTGTTAAATTGTGTTTCTTTTTCGTTTTTTAATGTAAAATCATTTTACTGATCACTTTGCTGTTTTTAATGTAACAAAAATATTTTTAAAAAAAATTTTTGTTTGTGCACTTGACTCTTTTTTTTTTGTTAAAAAATTAATAACAATAACAAAAAATATGTTTATGCAAAAAAATGGCTCAATTGGTTTTGTTTGTGCTTTGCAACAAATTGTTTTTTGTTTTTTTTTTTTGGAAAATTTTTAGTTTTCCAGACGTTCTTATCAATTATTACTTTTGCTTGGTTAGGTTTTCATCTTTTTTTTTTTTTTTTAATATTAATTTGGCACACTGATTCCGTATTCCATATAAGAAACCCCGAGAGCTAGGTGTGTGTTGATGTAGTTATTGTTTTTTTTTTTTTTTTAGTATAATTTCAATATTCCTTGCTTGCTTTCTCTTCCGCTTGTTATCCCTGATATTTAGTTTTTCCATTTTAGAAAGATTTATACACGAATCCGTTTGCCAGTTTCCACTCATGTGAAATGCGTATGAAGTTCTGGCGCATTGGCCATAGCCGCTGCCGCAGCTGCTGCTGCCACTGCTGCCGCGGCGCTGCCAGCAGCGGAGTCCGTCTCCAGGGCGTTGGCACCGCCAGCACCACCAGTGCCGGCACCGATGATGCCGCTGATGAAACTCTTGTCATCCTCCAGCTTGAATTTCTCCTTGTGCATGCGCTCCATGTGACGGCCGATGTGCATCTTTTGCTTGGCCCGATAGACACAGAAGGGGCACTGGAATTGCGGCTCCTTGCCGCATTCCCATTTCTGATGATTGCGCAGCGACGACTTCAGCTTGTAGACGCGTCCACAAACGGGACATGGGTGTCCAGCACCGTTGTCAGCGCCAGCCATGTTGCTGTTGTTGCCACTAGTGTTGTTATTGTTGTTGCTGCTGCTGCCGCCACCAGCTGCGGCACTCAATGTAACGCTACCACCGCCAGCCGATCCACCGCTGCCAGATCCAGCTGTGCTGCCGCTAATGAGATTATTCATGGCGCTGATGCTATTCAATATATTGATATGGCAGAGTCCGGCCGGGCCCACATCGGCCAGCGAAACAGCGCCAGTCAGCGTTATGGGATAATCACTGTTGCTGTTGTTGCCATTGCCACCGCTGACGCTGCCGGCGCCAGTGCTTAGATTCTCCTCTCCATAGCTCAGATCCGCGCTGCTATTGCCCGCCGCCGCCGCCGCCGCTGCCGCAGCTGCTGCTGCTGCAGCTACTGCCTGTTTCTCGGCTACGGCTTTCAGCATTAGCGACGTGGCCTCCTCCTCGGACAAATGCTTTAGCTTGCCACCGCCAGGATAGATCTTATGCTGTTTCTCGCTCGTGTTGCACGGCGTAGACGTTGTGCCCGGCTCGATCTTTAGCCGTATGCAATCCGTCGGCGTTTTCCGTTCAATGGCATCCGCAGCGGCGGCCTTGATGCCAGTCATATTCAGCTGCTTGTCCACCGACAAATCGGTGGGAAACACCAAGGGCTGGACGCCCTCGCGAAGCGTTACCAGCGGCATGGCCAAGCGCGCGTTCCACTCGTTCCAGGTGAGACCCGCAATGCGCGTAATACTCAGATCTGATTTATTTTTATTATGTTTTATATATTATTTATTTTAAATTTAGTGTTTTATTTTTGGTCGTATTTGTTGTAGGTGGGTGCACATATATGTTGTTGTAGATGTAGTTGTTGTTGTTGGATTTATTGTGTGTGTAGAGAAGATTTGGTCAGCCATACAACATATGAAAATAAAACAAGAAAAGAAGAAAGAAAAAAAAAAAAAAAGAAAAGAAGAACGAAAATCAATAGCATTACTTTTGAGACTGGACACAATGCAACGCAAAAGTTAAATTAACCGAACAAGTAAAAAATTTAATAAATAAATATGCATGAAAAAATTCGTAACAAAAACTTAGCATTAACAATAAACAGGGAACGGATATATAAAGAGATATATATATGTGTGTATAGGGGAGGGCCGGGACGGTTCGGTTAAACCAACGCCAACAACAAGAACAAAAAAATTAATATGAAAAGTAATAAGAAAAACTAAATGAAAAGAGAAACAACAAAATGTTGATGCATGAGAAATAACTGATCAAAAAATAGTAGTTAACGATTTAAGATGAGCACACAAACATTTAAGCATTTAGAATAAAGTAAATATGAAATATATTAGTGAAGCAGTAAAAGCCTAGAAATTTAATTAAAAGCATTAAAATTATGGCATAAATACACAGCAATATATATAGATCAATATATATATATATGTACAAAATAATAATAATAATAAATACATACATATGTATGTGTGTGCATATAAAACAAGGTAAACTTAAAAAAAAAAAAGCTTTCATTGAGAGCCAATTAGTACAGGGTGTATATTTATTATTAAAATTTTAAAAATTAAAAAAAAAATATATAAGTAAAAATGAAACGCGGCAAGCCGCTAACACTATAAAACCTTTGCAAAAAACATTAAGAAAACGTAATAACAAATTGAACTAAAAATAATTAAAGAAATAAAATGTGAAAAAAAAATATATTTTTACAAAAAAATTAAATCTAAACAAATTTTGGTTTCAAGAAAAAATTAATTTCTTTTAAATTTCTCAAAATAATGTCAGTCATTTAAATCTGTGAATTCTCTTATTATATATGAAGAAACTTTTGACAAGTTCTTTTGACATGAAAATATTTTATATATTATCTTAAATATATCTTTTCCAAAGAATAACTATTTCTATTTATAAATCAGGGCTAAAATCTTGATATACTAAAAGTAAGTACTATAAAAGTATCATTTATTATTTACAGACGGACTCTTATATAAATATCTGTCTATAGCTATATAATTTATTATTTATTAACATCTGCAAAGGTTTCGTGTTTTACCAAATTAAATAAAACGTAGGGCATTCTTGATTTGTTTGTTTGTTTTTTTTTTTTTTTTTTTTAAGGTGTTTTAAAGTGTTGCACGTAGCAGCTGGGAACACAACAAACGCACGCACGCACGCGCATACACACACACTAACGGGCGGGCGGGGAGTAAAAGGTTTGGCAATTGCTGGTTATTATTATTTTTGTGTTTTTTAGTGGCATATACAGAAAACAATTACTTAAGATTTAGGTACTTATATAGAGCTTGCAACAGGTTCGCAAAATTTCATCGCATTTGAATTAGGCAAGATGGAAATAGTATTACAATTAGTAGTTGCATCCCATTTGGCCATTTATTCCATACGTTTATCCACGCTTACCTACAAAAAAGAGAAATATATTAATTGAATTTCATAATTAAAAGGGCAAAAAAAAAATAAATAAATTCGTCTCGCTGCTGGCGTCGTCTACCTGCAAAAAGAGAAATATATTAGTAATATTCAATTCCCCTTTATTTATTACTAATAATTATTTTTATTATTATTATTTTTTTTTTTTTTTTCAATAAATTAACGAGGATTTTTTTATTTTTTATTTTATTTTTATTTATACAACTAAATTCAAAATATATAATTTCTATATTTTTATATGTATACATAATAAATGTTTAGCAATGAATTAAAATGTTGTACATACAATCTGTTTTTTGTAAATTATGTAAAATATTTGAATTAATATTGAATTTGTGTTTTGTTTTGCCAAAATATATATATGTATATATACTCATAAAAACTGTTTCGTGGCTTAAGTTTGTCATATACATGAATTTACTAAGTTTCTTTCTTTCAATTTAAATTTTTAATTATATAATTATTTTTTTAGTTTTCCACATTTGGTTGCTTCAATTGCAACAACAATTTTACAGATAATATTTGTAAAGATTTGCTTTTTTTTCTTTTGCATTTCGTCATAATAATGTAAAATATTTTTCACTACATTTTTTTAAATTTAATATTTTATATATTTTTTTTTTCCTTTTTGTTTTGTGAACTGTAAAACAACATGTGACAACTTTATGAACGTATAAATAAGCCTCCAATTCAGACAGTTTTTGTAATCATTTTTATGTGATTTTTTTGCAAAGTATTATATTCTGTAAAAAAAATTACACACTGTGCACTTTAACTTTTTTTTTTTTTTTTTCATATGTATGTTTTTAATTTTTTTTTGTATTTTCTGTTTGCATTTTTCTTAAATACTTAGAAATTTCGCCTTGAAAAAATGGGTTTCTCTTTTTATTTTTTACACATATTTATAGATTTGCTAGGTACTGTACTTTCTGCGAAGACATTTAGATGTTATGCGTTAAATGTATATTTGAAATGTATTTAAAATTTAACCTACTCAATTCTAAACTAAATTTTTTTTGTGTAACTTTTTTATATATATATATATATTTTTTTTTTTTAATTTTTCATTTATTTAAACAATAATTCTTTGTGTTATTTCCATGAAAATACTTGCACATGATTTCTGGTAGATTTTTGTTTTTCGTACTTTTTCACTTAAAGATTTTGTTGTATTTGCAACACTTAATAAATGTAATTTTTAAAATTACGTCAAACAATATGAAAATTATACGCAAAGACGTCAATTAAAGCCCAATAAAAATATAATAAAATATTGTTTTGCAAATAGTTTGTTGAATTTTGTGTTATTTTTAAAATATTCTGGTATTTTCTTTTTGAATTTACCTTTAAACTTAAGCAAATAATCAACAAATAAACGCAATTGCATCAATTATCAAAATTGATGCTCGAGAAAAATAAGAAATACATAATATATATGCTTATATATATATGTGTGTGTGGATATATATAATAGTTTAGGTGTGGGAGAATAATGTAAACTGGTTTTTTGTTGCTGTTATTCTTTGTGAGGTACTCACTGCTGCGGCTCCTCCTCCTACTCCTCTTCCTCCTCCTCTACCTCCTGCTTCTGTTGCTTAGATCTTGCGTCCTCGCTTGCTCTCCAGCTGCGGCTTCTCGGGATGATGTTTGCGCACATGTACGCCCAGATTGCCACGCTGCTTAGCCTTGTAGCTACAGTAGGGACATGGATGACACGGCTCCTTGCCACCGCACTCGACATTCTCGTGGCGACGCAACGTCGACTTCCAGCGATACTTTTTGCCGCAGTGACGACAGACATAACGTGATTCTGGATCATCGCAGGGACCTAGCGAAGAGTCGCTCAGCGATAATTCGTAGGTCATGCTACTGGGATCGCCGCCAGCGTCCGATTCCTCTTTCATTGGTCGTGTTGTTAGAATGGTATAGCTCTTGCTCGAATCATGCACGCCCAGCTCCTCGGGTATTATGGTCTCAACACCATCATCATCGTCCGCCTGCAGCTGGATGTGATGATGCTGATGCTCCTGCTGCTGTTGGTGATGATCCTCCTCCTGCTGCTGTTGCTGCACCACTGTCGCCTGATGTATGTGATGTGTCTGCAGCTGAGAGGTGTGTATGTGATGTGTCTGCTGCTGTGGATCATGCTGATGCACCTGCAGCTCCTGCGGCTCATGCTCAATGGTGGTAATATGCGTCTCGCCCGCTGACGTCTGCATGTGCTCGGTGATCTCGGAGGGTGCAAAGCCAATGCCAATTTTCGTGCCATCCGGCAGTTCGATGTCATCGATCTCGGCATACTTGACCAAATCGCTGATGATGGCCGCCGATGCATTTGGATTGTTCAGATCGATTTCGCTAATCTCATACTTGGTGCCATCGGCCAGCTCATGATGCTGATGCGGTATGGCCTCATGTGTCTCCACAATCTGCAAATTGCTAACGCTCGGCGCAATTATTTTGCCACGCGAATAACGTATGCGCGATGTAATGTTTGGCTTCTGTTCGGCTATTTGCACATTGCGCAGACCCACCAAATTGATCGTCTGTCCCGGATGTGCTGTAATTATGCTTTGTACTTGCTGAGCACCTTGGTGCAGCTGTTGTTGATGATGGTGCTGTTGTTGTTGCTGCTGCTGCTGTTGTTGTTGCTGATGCTGATGCGAGCTTTGTGGCACCTCCTCAATGTGCAACTGTTGCTGTTGCTGCTGCTGCTGCTGTTGGTGATGATGCTGCTGCTGCTGTTGATGATGTTGTTGTTGCTGCTGCTGCTGCTGTTGCTGATGTTGCTGCTGTGTCTCCTGTGTCACATGCTGAATGATGTGATGCGGATGTATTATGGTGGTAGTGGCGGTGCCACCACTGCTGCTGCCACCATGCGGGGCAAGTGTCGTTGAGCTGGGTATGATTTTCTTAATGTTGATTAGTTCTGTAAGTGAGAAAGGGATTTTTTTTATTAGTATTAGAAACTTTGCAAGTATTGGAATCAATATAAGTATAAGTATGCGTATAATTATTAGTAAAAACAATAAATATGAACATAAGAATAAGTATGATATTCATCATGATCTCTTAAATATTCAATACAAGAAATAATGGGAAATAATGATGATGATATTGTTTAACTTTACATTTAAAATTTACAATCATAACATCATCATAATAATCAGTTTACTAGTAAACATCATCATTTGATTATCATTAGCCTAACACAAAGTATTATACATCATAATTATTTAAACTAAAAATATTTACTAATACAAATTTAAAATATTAAACTAATTGACCACTGCTCCACTGCTCTATTCAACTGCTCCCCGCTAAGTCAGTCAGGAGACTGACCAAACTCTTCAACTGACTCGTCTTTATATAGCAGTCGCAGCCACTCAAAATCGGAGCCGAGCTAGAGCCTCGTTCGGAGATCGTTTTATGTACGCAGTTTATAACTGAGTAGAGTAGCTGAGTAGAGAGCTTAACTGCTCTGAGAGAAGAGTAATAGGCAACCGGACAGACTACTGAACTATCGTTAATAGATCGATGTATTGGTTTACTAATTTCAACTCACATTTTTATGTCGGATTAGATCTTCATATATATATAATGCATATTATATATGCATTACATATTACTGAATATTTTTGCTATACTTATAAGTAATTCATTAATAAGTTTATAAAGAAGTCAAACACTCACCACATTCAGAAGAGGGCAATTTGATGGGCGTATTCGTCAATGTGGTCAGGGTGGGTTTAATATCGGCGCTGTGGGCCGCTTGGCTGAGCAGTTCGGTGATCGTTTGGGTTGGCTGGCCGGCGGGTCCGGTCACGGTAACCGCTGCCGTTTGTTCTTCCGCAGTGCTGCCCATCTTGGCCGTCGTAATGTTGCCCAGCTTCTTGACATGCAGCACAAAGCCATCCTTGTTCTGGGTGATGACAATATCGTTGCTCTCCAGCAGGCAATCGTCCAACTCGAACTCATCGTGGGCGCCTTCCGTTTGTTCACCTTTGTCCTGCTTGGCATCTGAAACGAACAATTCGAAAGAGGCGGGGCCAAGGGCGGGAGTTGAGGGCGTGACAGCAAAAAAAAATACAATTACATTATTAGATATAATTTTTTTACTTTAACATTTATTTTATTTTTTAAATTTTACCGCTGCTTCACACACACATATATACATTCTCTTTCTCTTTTCATATTGTTTCTTTCTTGCTCAGCTCATAAACGTGTCCTGTCTGCAATAATTTCCTCTTTCACACAACTTGATAAAAACAAGCAAACAAATGATCGCCGCATAAATTAATATTTATAATATTATATAATCATAAATTTATTATATATTTATAAAAACTTTGTGTGCTGCTGTATGTATACGAAAAGAATATATATATAAAAACACCAAAGCCAAAAATAAACAAGAACAAAACGAAACAAAAGAACAATAACTTTCAGTTTATGTTTTTATAATTAAAAATCCGTGCCCCTAATTAAATATTATGTAAAATTCGGCTTACGCTCTAAGAAAATTCAATAATGACACATTTCAATTTTGTTGCAAAAACTCAGTTTTTATTAAACATTTTTAAAATATATCTTTTATTTTTTTAATTTAATTTTTTTTGTTTTTGTTTTCATTTCAATCGAAATTTAATTTTTTTTATACACAATGTTTGTGACGCTGACTTTAACTTACCTGTTGCTAACACCCACACACACAAATATATATATATATATATATTTCAGTTCTATAACTGAGATCATATCACAGAGTGTTTCTTTTTTTAAGCCAACTTGCCACGCCTGTTACTCTTGGCCTCGAATAGTCCACGTGCCACGCCAGCTGCTGCTTGATCCGGATGCTGTGTCTTCATGTGCATATTCAGGCTGTGCTTATAGCGTGCCACATAGTGGCAATGCTGACACTTTTCCGTTGGCAAACGGCCGCACTCGAAGCGCAGGTGGCGCCACAGATTCTTCTTATACGTATAGGCCTTATCGCAACGCGGACAAATGTGCTGCGAGCTGGCCAGATGCGGCGACTCGGCGGCAGCCAGCTGCAACGTGGTGGCAATGTTATTGAGCGACGTCACCGATTTCACTGACAGCGTCCAGCAGGTGTTCTCTACAACAGGATAACACAGAGAGAGAATAGGTTAAAAGAGGGTTGACAAAGATTTGCAACATTATCAAACAAATTATAAAAGGAAAACAAAACATTGGATAGAGACGTGAAATTGATGATATGAGAGAGTTTTAGCTAAATGAGGCAATAGGAAAGAAAAATATTTATAAATATATGTTTATGCATATAGCGTACTACCGGGCAACCACTGGGCAGAGGCGATAGAGCAGAGCTATTATATTTTCTTTTTTTTTTGTTTTTGTTTTTTTTTTTGGTGGCCATTACTGTAAAGCTAACAAAGTAAAACAAACATACACACAAAATACATATATATATGTCAAACTAAGGAAATATTTATAATAAATTACTCAAAAAATAGAGCTAAAGTCTAATCTAAGCTAAGCTTTAGATATACCAAACAAATTATAATAATAATAAATATAAAATTAATAATAATACTCTTACCCGCCTTCCAAAGCTCAGCTTAAAGTATACACTTAAAGAAATTGCATTAACAGCTGTTAAATGCAGAACTATGTTAAAAAAAATTTCAGCTCGAACTTAACATAGCTGCAGGTAGTACCGTCTACTATGCATATAACGGTAGCAATTGCTTAACTCAGCAATTGACCTGACTTGGAACTTAAAAATTAACAACAATTAATAACAATAACTTAATCAAAGCACACACACACACACGCACACACTTGACAGCAGCTGCACAGCTTGTTAACATCTGTAAAAATAAAAGAACATATTAGAAATTATTATTAAAATTTTTAAAACGCCTCCATGTTAACCCCCCATCAGGAAATAAATAAACAGTTTTTTTTTGTTTCTTTTTTTTGGGGTTTCAACATTTCAATATCAATCTTTATTATGTTTTTTTTTTTTTTTTTTCATTTTGTTTGTGTTTTTTTTTTTGTATTTTTTTTTTTTTTTTTTACCATCATGCATTAAATTCAAACATGTTGTGTATATAAACAATGCATATATAATGCCTTTTCTTTGTTCTTCGGTTTTTGCAAAAATAACAATGTTTTTTTTTCAATTTTTTGGTTTCTTTGACAAATTGTCTAAAAAAATCAAATAAAAACAGAATCTCAAATGTTGTTTACATATCTCTTCATTTTTGAGTTTTCTATTATTAATTTTTATTTTAATTCTACTTTGTTGTTATTATTACAATTATTAATAATATTAATTGTTTTTTTTTTTTTTCTGTTGTTTTTCATTTCCTTTCTTTATTTAAGGTACTAACAATATCAGCTTCGTCAATGTAAGTTTTTCGCTTTTTATATAAATTTGTTTCATAATTTGTTGTTTCGCCTTTTCCGTGGTTTACGTTAACAATAAATATATGTATATATATTTATATAAACATTTTTTAATTTCTTTATGCTTTTCTGTTTCCTTTTCTGTTTAATATTACGCTACAAAAAATAAACAACATTCGTTTTGTTACAATTATATACTATATATACATATATATTATATATATATATATATGTTTGTTGTTCTGTTATTGTTTTTATATATCTGCTCTTTTGGTTTGACTATATATTTTTCGATATATATATATAATATACATATATATATTATTCATTATATGGCAATTTTGTTCCAAATACACTTTTACTAAAACTTGTTCTGGGGGTTTGTTCATTTATTTTATAAATTTACTTTTTTGTTTTCTTTATGTATATGTCCTTGTATATATGTATGTATATATATGTATGTGTTGTTGTATATATATTTTTTGGTTGGTTTCTTTGGAGTATATTTTGTTCATTATTTTGTAACTTATGCTTTTGGGCTAACATTTTTATTTTTATTTATTTTATATAAATTTTTTGTTGTTGGTTTTTAGACTATTTTATAAATATTAATTAACAATTAACAAGTTAAAACTTAGTTGTTAAATTAATGAACAAAAAATCAAAGACAACTATTTAAATTTTGTATCAGTATATATATGTGTCTATATATATATATTAAAAACGATGCAACAAAAAATGTGAATGAAAAACAAAAAACATTAAATGTTTCTTATTTTTGTTTTTGTTTCTTTTTTTTTCCATCAATTAGTCTAAACTTTAACAGCGCAACAAAACAAAAAATTAATAGTAATAATTTAGCTAAATCAATGAACGTGCAACAAAAACCTTAGTTAATTAGTTTAACAAATTAGTTTAGTATAAGATAAATATAAATATATATATATATTTTCATATAAAATTTCAACTATTTATTTAATTATTATTTTTGACAATTTGTCTTATGCTTCAAATTAATTTTTTATTTTGATTAGATTTTGGTTTTTTTTAGTTATTTAATTTAGTATGTTTTTTTGTTTTTTTTTTTTTCCTTGGTACATTTGCAATTGACACGAATTTTCTGTTGGCACACAAGACAAATTGCAAATTGACAATAAAAGAAATAAAGAATATTTTCATTGGGCTAATTTTGGATGAAATTAGAAACAAATTGATAATAAATTTTATGAAAATTTGCATTGGTATTTGTATTTTGTTTTAGTATTTTTGTATATATATATGTATGCTGCTTAGTATATTGTTTAGTATTTGCATTAACTAAGTATTAACTTGTCTAGTTTCAATTCGAGCTTTTACTATTTTACTGTTATTTCTATTGCTGGGACTGGCTGATGTCGTAGCCGCGAGGAGCGAATATGAAACTTCTTGCTTTGCTTCTAACTTCAATTTTCGGTAATTCTTGCATCATTCTAGCACTTGCTTAAGTCAATTAACTTTTTGCTGCGCTTCTCTCTTACTGCTTTCAACATTCCTAATTCAACTTCTCCTTTTGCTTATGGCACACTTTGTTTTCGCTTCTTCCATGCTTCTCGCGGCCATTTCAACATCAGCCATATATTTTATATTCCTTTTGTTTTGTTTAATATCTGACTATAACAAAGTTATAACAAGCAAACTATTAAAATAATATTAAAAACAAAAATTAATAATGAAATCAAATTATTTATGTATTAATGCTTGGACCTAACTAATACATATATATATGAATAATGTATACATATATATATAAGTGTTTTTAGTTGCACTTTAACTGCCTGCCTTAGTAAGTTTTGTTATACATGTATATCTTTATCTTTTCAATTATCATATATGTATATTAATATGTATAATTTCAATAATTTATTACATTTAAATTGTTTTAATGGCACTCTTAGCGTTTTCATTTACTTGTTATATGTTTTTTATATATGTATATATATATTTGTTTTTTTTTTTTCTCATCATTCATAGACTGCATTTTTTTTACCTATGTTCGGTATATGTTATTTCTTAATTATTTAAATTTTATTGTACTTGTTAAATACAATTTAGTTTTTTATTTTAGATTGTACTAAAATTTTAACAAAATATACCAATAAAACTAAAGAGTTCTATGTTTTGGAGGGGGAGGCGGGTTTTTGACAAAAATATATATGTATAGCTATGCCCATACACATATATATAATGTTCATGAGTATATGTATATGTGTATATGTTTGATCTCTTCTCGCATCTCTTTCTCATCTAGGGGCAGCATTGAATTCTAATTTCATTTGGTTACGGCTGAGTGAAATTTCTTTCTATATATATAAATCTGCTTTCTAGATCTCTTTTGTTTGGAGTTTCCAGTTGTATAATGGCACACATGTTCTGCACACAAATCCAATGCTGCCACACACACACACACATACACACTTCCACACATGCGGATACACACTTAAAACATAAGTTACAAAAACAATTTTTGTAATAACATTTTCATACATATTCTTTTTTCTTTTTTTGCAACAACAGACAACAAATTTGCTAACATAGCATTTTTTTAATAGATGTGTGTAATTTCTCCTTGAAATATATATATATAT